GAATTTGCCGGCTCTTCCTTCGTTTCAGTCTCATCCTCAGTACATTTCTCTCTCCTCTAATGGCAGCACCACCAGAAGCACTAGCAGCAGCAGAACCACAGCGACGAGATCAGACACAACAATCACAGTCAGCTCCTCAGATTTCGTCACAGCCAATGGAGAAACCATATATATGAGTGCTGAAAATGGAAGCAATTACACCAACTCTTCTGATAGGTTTCTTGACAGGTCAAAAACCTTCCAAATGATTGAAACCCCAAGAGAAATATCCTTCAAGGAGATCGTTTCAGCCACCAATAACTTCTCTGACTCGCAGCGTGTGGCGGAGCTCGACTTCGGAACCGCCTACCATGGCTTCCTGGACAGTAGCCACCATGTCCTGGTGAAGCGACTGGGAATGAAGACTTGTCCTGCACTGAGGGAGAGATTCTCTAATGAACTCCAAAACTTGGGGCGGCTCCGCCATAGAAACTTGATTCAACTTCGTGGGTGGTGCACAGAGCAGGGGGAGATGCTTGTGGTGTATGAATATTCAGCAGATCGTCTCTTGAGCCACCTTCTTTTCCACCATGACAATAAAGGCTTGCAATGGTGTCATAGATACAACATYATCAAATCTCTGGCTTCTGCCATTCTTTATCTCCATGACGAGTGGGACGAACAAGTCATCCATAGAAACATCACTTCATCAGCTGTCATTCTTGATCTTGATCTCAACCCAAGGTTGAGTTCTTTTGCCCTCGCAGAATTCCTAACCAGAAACGAGCACGGCAATCATCATGTAACCATAGATAAAAGCAAATCAGTTCGTGGGATTTTCGGATACATGTCACCGGAGTATTTAGACTCCGGGGATGCGGTGGCCACGGCTGACATATACAGCTTTGGCGTGGTGGTGCTCGAGGTGATTACAGGACAAATGGCTGTTGATTTTCGACGGCCAGAGGTATTGCTGGTGAGGAAGGTCCATGAATTCCACGCCCGTAAAAGACCACTGGAAGAACTTGCTGACATAAGGCTGAATGGAGAATACAACCACAGAGAACTCATGAGACTGTTGAGATTAGGAATCGCATGTACTCACTCAAATCCAGATTTAAGACCAAGAATGAGGCAGATAGTTAAGATACTAGATGGAAATGACCAATGCTTCACTAAAGAAGAAAAAATAGAGAGCCTAGAAGGTTGGAAACAGAGAAATGCAACTTCTTTGTCACTGGTTAAGAGGATCCAAGCTCTGGGAATACAGTGAAAAACCAAAGTAATTCCAACAAAATTAAGGCACAAGATGAGATGTATTCCATTTTTTTTTTTCCGCTAAGACTCTCTCGGCTTCTTTTTCTTCTCTCTCTTTCCCCTTTGATAGATCTATGCATAGTTTTTGTTAATAGTGTAATATAACGGAGAAGTTTGGCTTTCAGATGTTCCATCCTGAGTAACAGAAAGTAAACACTTATGTTAATATTCTTGCTATACGTCCACAGCCTTAGACTCCTAGAATTTTCCAATGTAATCATTAGAAGTGCAGTTAAAAAGCAAAGAACATCCATAAAGAACAATAATTGTTAATAAATGATGGCAACAGAATTAATAAGATGATGCTCTGCCTTTTAAACTCGCATGATTGCCACACAGGCATTTCATCAAACACGCGGAGTGCAAAGTCCTAATATCAGAATTTGGCCTTCCACATTTTAGTTAAAATCCCATTTTCTTGTGTTGTTTCAGAAGGAACCCAACAATTCCACTCAAACAATTCAGAAAACAATCAGGTTTCAGCATTGGGAATTGAAAAGAAAACACGAATATATTGTTCCACACGAGTTCATAGCAATGGCACATGCAGAGAATCAAAATGCAAGCGAATCAATAGTTTTCCGGGTCAGAAAATTTACTCAAAACCGCACAAAATGCCAGAAAGTGGAAGTACAAGAAAAGTCTGCCGCCCGATGAATCTTCCATGGCGATTGACGGCTGAAAAGAGAGAGAAAACGAAATTAGAGAGAGAATCAGAAACCGTAAAAGCAAAGAAAGGGGAAACTGCTGACGTCTTTCGCTTGGGATGCGCCACAGAGATGAAAACAACGGAAATGGAAAAGTCGCAACCTTTTTGGATGTCCTTTCAATTTCAACGATCAAAACCATCTCCGGCCGAATTGTATATCATCGATTTTGATTTCTTCAAAAGTTGCCACCGATTACCGAACTTAATCAAAGAAGCGTGAAATTGGCTGAACCACAATCGATTTCAAATCTGGGAGGGTAAATTGTCAAATTTTAGAGATCTTTTGCTGCTCTTGTCAAAAAGAAAAATGACGAATTCAGATACGGTTAGGTTTTTGGCGGCATCTATAGTGAATTTTTTTTTCTTTTTTCTTGATACGAATTTTTGGTGGGAGAACCAATGCTATAAATGATGTGATGGAAAYTTTTTTGAAAAATTATAAAAATAGAACTTCTATTATAAATTATTAATATTAATATTATATCTACGTTGGTACCGGGTGATATTACGTTGATATTTTTTTATGTTTTATTTTGATACCATATCCRTTCAGGGACAAATGAAAATGTTGACATATTAATAAAAATTTTACYTGGAGTGAAAATTCGAACTACCTCTTGGTCACAATAGATGCCTTAACTCGTGACTTATATTAAAGTTGACAATGAAAATTTTAYCTTAAAAGAGAATGATGGATGGAAAAATGTAAGGAAAAAAAAAAGAAAAGAAAAAAAGTTAGTTTTAAGTAATAACTTTTAGTTTTTTTTTTTAATATTGTATAATCTAAACAAAAAATTGAACAAGAATTTTAAACTATGAATAAATATTAAAAAAAAGTAGTTCTAATCTTTTTATCTAAAGTTCCAGCTCCTACACCTACCACGGACGTYGAATCGATGATCACATATATTTTAATCTCTAAATTAATTTTTAACTTTAAAAAGTTATCATTAAATTTTAAAATTTTGCTGTTGATAATAGAATATAAATTATGGACGAACATACTAGAGGAGCGTAGTTCAGCCGTCAAGACACCTATCAATTACATAAATTTATTTAAAGAAAATCTTGTAATTTTGATATCTAAAAAAAAAGTGAAGATTAACTATTAAGTCATTAAAAGGTATGGAATAATCTATAAGATCTGTTAAAAAGAGAAGAAAAACCTAAGGGCCGTCTCTTATTAATCAATATTAACTATAAATAAAGATAAATTTTGACTGATGTCAGAAAAAAAAAAGGAAAATTTTGACTCTTTTTTTTATTTAATTTTATTTTGATGATAGCTGGAGTATATTATAAGATGACAAATATGAGACCAAGTCTATGTCTAAATAATTATTCAACTTTTATTCTCTGAGGAAAATGTGAAAGTAAATAAAATTGTGAAAATGTGAATGGGAATGAGGACTAATTAGCCCACCATATCATTTTTCTTCTTGTTTTGTAATAAATATTTTTGTATTTATTATAACCCATCCTCTTTCTCTTTTATACAATTATAATAATGTTTAAATACTATTTTGACATTAAAACTTAGGTCACGAGCCTTGTAGTCTTGAGTAGGTAGTTTATTTTGTTACTCGGTTTTCTTCAATGCTTCAAAACGTCGGGAAAACCATAAAACGTTGGGATTAACTTTTTCCCATGAAATATTTGCGTTGGGACAAACGTTAGGTAAAGTGTGTTAAAAAAGGTTACTTTTGACGTTTTTTTGAAAAAAAGTCGAGAAAAGTCACTTTTCACAACAGTATTCAAAAAGTCTAGAAAAGTGAAGACAACAACGCTATAATTCCTCGACATTAAAGCTTAGGTCATGAGCCTTGGAGCCTTGAGCAGGTARTTTATTTTAATCAATCTAGTTTTAAAACATTTATTTTATTACCTGTATTTCTAACTTCGATCCATTTTAGTCCCTACAATTTCAAAAAGTCCTTTTTTTTTACATTGCAAAAAGTCACTTTTAAAAAGTGGCAYTTTATTTYTTATTCGCAAAATTTTAACACAAATTTTAGATATAATATAATATGGGCCTCTTTAATACAAATTTACGGCTATATTCAAAAAAATTTAGTAAATGGAGCGTACATCATGTTAAAATTATGATAAAAAGAAATGAGAACAAAATAAAATTGAGATTAAAATAGTTACTTTATAAAAATACACCGACCAAAACAGATATAATGTACAAAAAAGACTAAACTTCATAAAAAATCATTTTAATGGTAAATTTGATTCAAGAAATGACAAAATTATTACTTTATATAATTAAAAAGTTTCAAATTTCTCTACTCACATAATATGTATCTAAAWTTTTTTTCTTTAGGACTCCTAATAAGAAAATTGCATAATTTGTATACCACTAAAATATTATATAATCATTTATTGAATAAGATTCATTAGTAACCAATGATTGTTACATTTTACTGGAAAAAAAACAATGATTTATGTAATTAATACTCAATGATTTTTATAATTTAATTAAACAAAAAAGTTCAAGCCTACATGGGGGAAATTATTTGTTAAGAGTTTAAATTTTCATGATTAGTAATAATTTTTACTATTAAAATTAAAATTAAGAGTATTTGAAAGCTGTTTAAAAAAAAAATTAGGAAGGTTGGTTTTGGAGCCAGCCTTCAGTGTCGACAAAACTCATGCTGGTTAGTTGTCGTATTTCCTCCGAACTGAGCTTCTTTTCCCATTTCACGCGGTGCGACATGTCGGAACCTGGTCCGTAGCAGCCATATTCTGCGTAGGTCAATTGGCCCCTGGATTTTCAAGAAATTATTTATCAGGAGGAGCTAAATAATTTGTGTTTTATAATTTATTTATTTTTCAAATGTAGTAACATTTTAAAATAATTCTCTACTCCACACCAAAAAAATAATAATAATAATAAATAAATAAAACTACACAATTGGTAATTTTTTTTCTTAAACGAGTAACAGAATAAAATAATTCCTATTTTTCTTAAGAAGACATTTAATTCTTAACTAAATTAAAAAAAATAAAAATAATTTTAAAAATTTTGGCTTAGATTTTTTAAAACGTTTTTAAAAAGTAGAAAAAAGAAAAAGCTTGGTGGAAACTAGTTTACAAACTTATAGAAAATAAAATGATTATAGCTTTATATTTTGTTTGAATTATCACTGCCTTTAAAAAATCAAAAACTTATTTTTCAAAAGTTATTTTTTTCATAACCATTTTATTTTATATTTATGTTTTAATATCAGGGTGATAAACACTTCCTTCATCTAAATCTGTTCAAATTTTAAGTTAAATTTTGAAAACTAAAAAAAAGTAGTTTTGAAAAAACTTGTTTTAATTTTCAAAAATTGACTACGAATTTCAAATGTTTTTAAAAATATGAAAAAAAAAATTCCGAGCAAACAAACATAATCTTTTAAATTAGAAAAACAAAAAGAAGAAATCATAAATCAAACCAATAGAATAAATCCAAAATCCATGATTGAAATTTTGAATCCAACACCAAAAGCCAACAAAAGAAACAAAACCCTCTTTTTTTCTTTAGACCTAAGTGCTTACCAACTCCAAAACCCACCCCCAAGTACCAATCAATCTTTTCAAGTTTCCCCATTTTCAAATGGAAATATATATTAAAAAAACAAGCAAATTTAATGGTGAAATGAAGAAAAGAAGTAAAGAAATAATAAGATTTAAATATTATTTTAGTCCATCGTTCTTTTAGCTTTGGTTCATTTGGGTCTCTGCTTACTTTTAAAATGTCCACTGATCCTATAGTTTCAAGTTTTGTTCATTTTAGTCTTTAATATTTTTAAAAGATTCATTTTGATCTCTGTACTTTTAAAGAGTGACCAAACAGATTTTACACACAAGAAAATTTTGTGAGTGAAATGTCAATATACTAAAATTATAATTGAAAAATGAAATAAAAATGAAGTGACCAAATTGATTGCTTTTAAAAGCCTACAGAACMAAAATGAACACTTTAGAAATACGAACTAAAATAAATAAATGTTGAAAGTATAGGAACATTTTGAAAGTAGAAGAACCAAAATCTAAAATACACGAACTAAAATAGTATTTAAACCAAACATGAAAGAAATATATATAGAAATAGACAAATGAAAAATGACAAAAAAAAAAATTAGATAGATGGATGAAATATCTTACTCTTGGCCAGCAAAACGCCAAGGATCCCAACCATTAGGGTTTATGATGTTGGAGAAGTTAGAGTTGTAGAAGATGACTCTTGAGTAGCCTCTCCATGGCCTCCCCAAGAAGGTTGAGCCACTCCCAACCACTTTACAATCTTTGAAAACAAACCCATTTCCATCATTTGGGTCTGTTCTTCCTTGTGCTGTTATAAATCCTGTGATTCTTGGTGGGAGCGCTTCTCCGACTACTGATATTGTACATCCCTACAACCAAACGTCACACAAAATGAGTTAGTTCGGTTTAGTTTGAATTTAACTCATAAAAAATCGAGCTGAGTTGACCAAAACCAACAAAATTTATTTAGATCGGCCAATAGCTGACGTTTGCATGATCCAATCGTCATGGAGCCCAAAAATTATACAATAAAATTAGGTGGGGTTCCTAGTATAGTTCCCTATTCACGATTCTTCTATTTACTGAAATAATGTTACTCAAATGAAKGAGAAGTTGTAATAAGTTTGTATTTTGAGGGGAGTTATTATCTATCGTTAGCTTCTACGGTARAACGAATCAAGGACCTAAAAGGTAGTGATATATATCTTTTTCACAAAGACGTCCTCCTGAAATCAATAGCATTTKATTGGAATACATTTTGTCTTTTCACCGTAGCAGTCCTATGCATAATCAGTACTACAGCCCTGATCATGACACTACTAATAAAAAATGATACTAGATGCCAAAAACTCGTGCTTCCTTTGATCGAGGAGCTCTTTCTTATTGTATTAATTTAATAAGCCAACTTCTTTTTCTGGRGACGTTGTTGCCCTATTCGTAACTAATTCAAAGGAAAACAAGATAAAATCTAGTCTCTATCGGATCATTTGAGTTTGATAGAATTGCAATAATAGAAATGTGAAATTATATATTGATCATATATGTACCTCATAAATGGATTGGGCAGTTCCAAAAATAAAGTCGACAGCTCCTTGGATAGTGCAACGATGGAAGTAGTGTCGTCCAAGGGCATCCCATAAGGTGTCTTGTAAGCCATAGAAACCACATTTATAGAAAGACGACTTGTCGCCTGTCACCATCGCTGCTACTGCTGGAACCCTTGGGTTTCCATTGTTCCATGGATCATTATATGAATTCTGAAACCCAAAAATAAAATAAAATAATAAAATAAAACGGAAGAAAATAACTTAATTCCTAAGAATAAATAAAAAAGAAGAGAAACTAAGAAGGGTTTGTTTGGAAAATTATTTTCAAACTATAACGAAAGTTGAATAAAATAAAATAAAATAATTTACCCTCGAAATAATATGATCGAGAACAACTCGAAAATTACTTTTTGTTATTAAAAAATTGCTTTAATCTTACTTTCATAACATCAATTTAATGCTGTTCACAATTTTTAAGATTAATTTCCTAAGAACAAATGATAAGTGGGGTTCTTTTTTTTTTTTTTTTAGTTTTAGCTTAAAGAAAATACATATTTTTCTACACCTTAGAAATTTTAGTCCAATTTTCAAAATCAATAAATGGGTTTTTGGAAAACCACTCAGTTATTAAACTTTTAGTTTTAAATTTTGGTTATGATTTTAAAAAGCAAATTTGAAAATAGATTAGATATGAAACAACAATGTTAGTAAACAAGTCTAACACAAACTCATCRAAAAAGAAAAACTTAAAAGGTTAAAACTCGAACGAGTTTATCAACAGCTTCAATTTGCTTTTTGAAAAATGAAACGTGCAAAGAACAACAAAAATCAAAATGGGTTATCAAAGGGGACCGATCGAGAGCTAGAAAAACCCTAGATTTGTTTAGGGATATGGTTTTGATGCATTTTTGACATACCTCAAAACTTATACATTTGACAACAATATTATCAGCAGAAGAAGTGAAAGTAGGGCTTTGAGCAATATTGAGATGGTCATCCCAAACAACTCTTGTTCTTCTCTTCCCTTGTCCCTTCAGAATTATATATGGCTTATCATATGGGATTGTCACCTTCTCTCTAAAATATATCACAAATGCCAAGGAAAAAAACACATGGTCAATAATATTATCCATTTGATTTTCAATAATACCTTTATTTTATCCGTGTGTCTGAATTAGCTTGTATGTACATCGACTAATCACGGACCAACCACCTGACCCTACTAGAATTGGTTGACAATGAAACTTGTAGAATATTAACTGTAAAAATGTTTTATTATTTATGGGGTAATTTGTAAATTACTAGGTATTTAATTACTTTAAGTTYAATCTTTTGAAGTACAAAAGTTTTGAATTTTCAAGAGAGTAATTATAAATGAAATGGCGAGGCTAAATATGATTAAGGGGAGAAAATAGGGAGTAAATAAATCAATTTAGCTCCATTTTCGGCAAAAATTGATACCTAAATTGAATAAAATCATCCAAATCAATTTTCTACTCTGTTTGGYCACAATTTCTTTAATATGTTTTGGGTCTTTCCCAAAAATAAATTTTAAGAAAACTATTTTCAAAATTTTGGTTAGATTTTGAAACCAATTCCAAAAGGCAGAGGCAAATAGATGAAATAATTAGTGCCTACCACCTTAATTTTCAAAACCAAAATCAAAATATTACCGAACGGAGTCTCATATTCAAAATTTAACTATTCATACAAGAACAATGTAAAATTTTAAATTTTCATAAACAGAACACCAAAATCAAAATATTATCAAATGGAGTCTTATATTCAAAACTTAACTATTCATATAAAAACAGTTAGACCGTTAAAATTTTAAACTCCGCCCAGTGATCAGAGAAAGTAGTGTCTACCCCTTCAATTTTCATAAGCAGAAAACCAACATCAAAATGATTATCAAACCGAGCCTCATATTCAAAACTCAACGACTATTCACACAAAAACAGCTAGAACGTAAAAAAAAAAWACGAAAGTGAGGTATCAAAAAAGGGAAGAAAAAAGAACCTGTAAACTCCAGCCTTGACTAAAATGGAGACCCAAAACCTATTGTTTGAAGGAACATCATCAATGGCGGCTTGAATAGTGGAGAAATTTCCATGGCCGCTCTGGTCCACCACCACAGTCCGCCATGCCACCTTCTTCTCCCCCACAGATCGATAAGACTGAGCTTCTGTTCCTCTCCCAAATATTATCGCTATTCCAATGCTCAATGCACAAATCCCTCGAACAAAAATCCACATTTTTTTTTGCGTACAAATCTCTGCAAATTTCGAAGCTTTAAAGAAGAAGAAGAAATGGGTTTTTTTTTTTTTGGTTTAATGGAGTGTAACTCCTGTATGTGTGTGTGTGTATATATACGTTTACTTTTATGGAAATGGGTTTTTTTCCTTAATGGATTGGCAAAGTGGGAAGGTCAAAGGTTTTTTCATGAATGGAATATTAGTAATTAATTGGGAGTGATTTAAGTTCATTAGGATGGATCGGTAACGATTATGTTTTGCATTTATTAAAAGAGAGTTTTTTTTTTCCTTTTCAAATTTATTTTTTTTAAAAGAGAAAAAATTAAATAAATATAGGTTACCAATAATTTATTATTGTTTTTAGAACTGTTATTGTATGTTTAATGTTTAAAAGGTATGAAAATGATTAACTAAATGACAATGGTGGGGTGCGCGTTTAGCTCAACTAGTTAAGATATATATTTAGCCATAAGATGGCGGGTTTGAATTACGAGTACTACAAATACTTTACAAATACTTTGAGAAGAGAATTTTTAGTTTGAGAATAGATGAGTAGCTGTTAAACTCACATCGAGCATGAGCATATAAGTCGCAAGTTAAAATCTCTAAATTCTCCCATTTATAAGGTAAATGGGATATGTTATATTTTTTTATCATAAAATATTAAATGTCTTGATCACATATTTTGGTCTTTTTAACCTTTTTGTTTCACTACAATGGGTGGAGATCTGAAACTATAAGTTTGTGGCCGATAGTATATATATACCTTAACTAATTGAGTTATTGTCCATATTGGCGTATTTTGGTCTTAACTTAAATATAGTACAACGGTTAAAGATAGGAAAATAACCTTCTTTATGGGTTAAATATTGTTCTAATAAAAAAAAATCGAAATTTTGAATTCTCGCTCCTACAAAATGTAATATTATATTCTAAAAAAATGATCAAAATATTAAATACTGGCCAAAACAAGCATAGCTTGATATTTGGCATATATTTTCAATCAATAGGCTGTGAGTTCGATCTACTAAAATATATATATATATGTATATATATTAAATACCGAAGATTGTGTTTGCAATATTTTTCGGTAGAAAATCAGCAAAGGAAGAACTGCCCATGCAGAAACAAAATCTAGACAAATATGAGAGAATACATGGAAATTAGTTTTTTTGTTTATTAAAAATTTCCGTAAAGGAAGAATTAGAAGAAAATATTTTAATTAATGCCATTTGATCTCCTTATTCTGACTTGGAATTTTTTTTTTTTTTTGAAAACATGGAAAAATAATCTTATTCATTAGGGGTTCTGAAATTGAAAAAATGCAATAGAAGGGGAGTTATATAAGAAATGCGACAGAATTTTTTTTTTTTCTGGAAAAATATTTTTCTTGTCGTTGTTTGTTTCTCGAGAAAATAGAAAGAAAAAGAAAAGATCAGAGGGCCCAAAAACGACCATCATTAAAATTAAATTTAAAAACCCTAAACAAGTTTAGATTCGAATGTTTTAACTTCTTCCCAACACAGGAATATGAATTTCCTTAATTAACTAAATAAATTTTTATTCGTCTTTCCTTTGTCGAAAAAATTTAATTAAATATTCACACAGAATATAGACACATTGGTACTAATAATAATAATAATAAATCTGATTAAGGCGTATATATTCAATTAAAATATCAATAAATCTTCTTCAGTGAAAAGAAATTAGTTAAATATTGAAATATACACATTAATTATAATTAAAAATTAGGTGTTGGAATCAAAATGAGAATTTTTATTATTAAAAACGGAAAAAGTAATTGAATTAGTTTGTTAGTTTTTACAACCATTAATACACAAGAAGTTGTAAAGGGAAAAATATTTTCTTAAAAAGAAAAAGGTGATGGTATGGAAAGTAATATAAAATCAACTTAAATAATATAATATAAAATACTCTAAGAAAAGTCGCTCTTAGACTATATTTGGAAAAAAAAAATGTGAGAGTTTTTAAAATACATAAAAAGAGTGAGTTTCTCTAAATCTTTTAAGTATATATTTTTTAAAATGTTACAATATTTCCTTCTTCTTTTTTTTTCCGAATACAACCTTAGTGTGGCCTTTCTTATTTTGTTTACATTACATCTAAATTTGTATTTGAATTGGATTATATTATTTTTGTAAAATTTCAACATTTCTATCATATTTGGAAATACATATTTTTTAAAATCTTTTAGGTAAATACCTCAAATAATTAAGTATAAACTTATTACATTTACCAAACTTTTTTTATAAGACTAATTATGTCCTAATTAAAAGAAAGAAAACATTGATAGTGGGAGGTGAAACAGTGCAACATAATAAAACCAAGAATTCAATTCTAAATTTAAAGAGTTTATAGCTATCACTTGAACTGCCAATTTAACTGAACCAGTTCTCCCAATTGGCTCATTAATTTACATTTATTAATCTAATTAATCTATGTATTAATATTAACAAATAATTTATTGTGATATGTTATTGTAAAATTAAATAATTTATAACTGAAGCAGCAAATCAAGTTCGATTGAAGCTGTTGAAATTCGGTCCCGTTAGAGTTCAATTCAACTTCAAAATCATTCTTAATAAATAAATCAATAAATCAATAAAACCCTTCAAAATTCTTCTCATGTAGCCACCCAAGTTTGTTATAAAATTAAAAAAGAAAAATCCTAAATTAGATTATTTTTTGGTTCAAAATACGAGCTTGAGGACTCAAACTACCGACCATTTAATAGATGATGATATTGACCGGTTGAACTATACTGACTTCCAAATTAGATATTAAGACATTGTTTCGTTTTATTACCAAAAGTGTTATGGGAATACAGATTCCTTGCGAATATCAATTCAATGTAGGAAATTATTCCTCGCTTATTTATGTATATAAATATTTTTTTTAATTCTAAATTAAAAACAAATTCTTCATGGTAAATTTGTTTTTTTCTTTTTTTTTTTTATCTAAAAGAAACAAAACCAAACAAACTAAAGAACAATCCTAAACACAAATGCAGGAACTTCTTCGATTCACACATGGTGCAAACGCTTGGTAAGAGCAATGCGGGCCAGCTGATGCGTGGCACCATGTCCCTCGCAAAGTGTAAAACTAAAGGAGATAGAGCCCGAAGAAGGGGACTGGTCACGCACACCCATAAGTAGCAAACCCACCTCCGAGAGATCTAAAACGCCAGAGGGACTCCATCTCAACCTGAATAAGACGAAAGCCCATCTCAATCACCAAACGCAGGCAGTCGTTGATAGCAATTGCCTCAGCAATGTCAACCGAGGGTCAAAATGGTCCGCTGATATGTTTATAAATAATTAAGGGATTAGTACATAGATGATCTATTTAGCAGACCTAATTACATAAAAGGATTTAAAGTACTAGAATTTACACTTTTGTCTAACATAATTCCCAAAATAGATGGTACCCATAATAGAAATTACTAATATATCCATCTCAATATTAAATAATTAATAAAATATGAAATTGRTAAATATTTATTAAGATATATGAAATCCCTAAAATTAAGCAAATTCAAAATTCAAAAATTGGGATTTTTAGAAACCCACGATTTCGTAACCTCTTCATCTCCGTTGTTTTCTCCTTCTTCACCGCTGCGACAAAACCTTTTCTCCATCATTAAGCTTCCGGTCGCGTTTCTGAAGAGATATCTCCGGCGGGTGCTTCTCCGTTCTCTGCAGAAAATATCTCCGGCGGGCTCCGTCGCATTTCAGAGGGCAACATCGTCACGCTTCCTTTGTCTCTAGCGGCTACGTCGACCCATTACACTGTAAGTTCTAATTTCATCTTCTTCCTCCATCACATGATCAATCCAGCTCGTTATGTCCACTTATACCGTATTTTATATTATATTTAGGTTTCAATTTTGTACAGAACATTGGAGAT